TTTATAATTTATATATTTGTAATCTCATTTGTTACTATTCAATTTGTATATAGAAATATCTTCTTATTTTTTATTGGCGTAGACCCCGCTTACGAGATGATTATCTAATGAAAAGATATTTCTTGTTTCCACATAAATCCAGCACTACCGAGCCCCGTGCTGAAGCCCAACTTCATGCCGGAAATATTAATGAATATTTGAATCACCTTGTTTGTATTGCGTGGACTAATTTAATGAAAAAGTGGTCGATTTTAACTGCTTAATATTATACCCTTTCTGCGGTTGGCTACATGGCATACAAATCGGTTAGAGGGAAGAGAGAGTTATCAATAAAATTGAGCGAGGGATAATTTCCTAGCTTCCTAATAAGATGTATTTACATACTGCTTTCTGTTAGTTAAATTGCATTTATAGTTAATATTTCAGACATTAAGTCTGGTATAAGAGTGAAACTACATATGTACATGACTACATATTACATATATATTACTGAATCGTGAGGAGTAAGAAAATCAATTTAGATTCTTTTGATGATACGTTGTTTTGCATTATAAAGAGGAAAATTTTGACTGTTTGTTTTTTAGTTTGAATTAAATATGCTTCGAAGCTACTTGAGCATTTTGAAGAGCTTCTGTTTGGATTCTTATTGATCCTTGCTAAAACGCCAATAATGTAACTCAAAATGTAAAATGTGCTCTAGAAAAAGCTTTAGACTTACCAGCATGCGCTGCGAATACTATTGAGCATAGATTATGTTATACAACTTTGCAGAATGTCAGAATATGTGATATTTTATTAAAAAAAAATTAATAATAGTTAATGAAATGTCGCCTCTATAAAAGCTTTTCATTATATTAGTAATAATTCTAATGAAAACTTATTATTTCACATTCAAAGCTGATTCAATATCTTTGTACAAGTTTTTGTATTGTTCGATTGGGGCATTGGATTCGAAAGAGATCACAAATTTAAGAATGTAACTATTAGAAAAAGTTGATTGGTCGCCACCTATCTCGGTTAGGCATAATATTGGGTCACGAGACCAATCAATAAAGGTGTGGAATTGAATATAAATAATTTTAAAAGTTCAATGTTCAGATCTCATGGYTTATGCATGTGAGATCCTCTTCCCCCAAGTCRGATGGCAAATGGAGTGGTCTGCTAGTATTAAATAATTTGTTGTTAAAAGTGAGGAAAATCGGTATGCAATTTTTTCTAAAAAGCAATGCATATTTCGATCGGCTGTTTTTCGAAATTATAATGCCGTTTTGGCAACTAATGTCTTAGTTATTAATACTGGTTCTTTTTTAATGAAAGTAAGAAGTCGTTCAAGTATTGCGCTGTTACTTTTAACATTAAAACTGCTTTTTTTTTTGTTTTATAAAATAGTATTTCTTCTTCTTCTTTACTGGCGCAGAAACAGCTTACGGTATATAATATCCCTAAGAAAAACACAATTAATATAGCCACATGTCTAAATATGTAGATATGCTTACACTAACAGACGTGTTCAGTGCTGCACACAAAATTATAAGCATTTTAAACATTTATGCATTTATTAGTAGCATTGCAGTTTATAAAAAATAATTGAAAGTTGTCTTGCAGCAAAACAAGATTATGCAAGTCGATAGCGTGGCAGCAAAATTTTCAGTTGCATTGAACAAGAAATTTCCATATACAGTTACGGGCAAGATAATAAAATTACTTTTTGAAAGTGAGCTATTGAGTGTTTTGGGGTAATTCTTTCTTGGTTAGTTAGATAAGAACACTCATAAAGTGGAACAATAAATAGTTGCTCCAAACTAAGATTGTTTAAATATGGAGCGTAAAAGACCTTTTATAAATTCAGAACTTGAAATCATTTTGTCAGTACTACTTACTATTAACACGCCACATCCACAAGTGTCGATGGCTTTAATAAGGTAGATCACATGTAGTCAAAAATCAACTGGAATTCAAAAATGGGTTATATGGGAAATAGTGGAAGTGGTTATGATCGGATTTCGCCAATTTTCATACTGTGATATATAGTAGGGATGTAACAAGAATGACACAAACTACATTTAGCCAAAATCGGTAGGACGGGTCCTGAATATGGGATTTCGCTAAAATGTTTTAGGAGGTATGGGGGTCCACACGGTGCCACAGACAGACGGTCACCCAGATTTCAACTCGTTTTGTCATCCTGAACAATTATATATATATGTATATAATCTTACTCTGCAACAACATGTTTCAAGCATTTGCAACAAAATTTCCTCTTAACATTAGGCGCAGATACGTTGAAAAAACATTATATGGAAAATCATCGCGAAACGTGATAATGCTAACTTATTCGCATAGAAAGGCCCACAAAACGTCAAAAAATCTGCGTCATAAATATTCTCTGGTCAGACGAAAGAAAATAAATAAGTATAAATAATGGTCAAGTATTTGTCAGGCTTTTGCAATTTTTTTGAAATCAGAGTGGCTGGATGTGTCTTTCCTGACATTGCGTAAGGCCTATATTTAATATTAACAAAAATATGGACAACTGCTTGTACGCGCAACAAGTTACTGAGTGGCAAATGCCCTTAAAATGAATATATCAGCAAGACAGTGATTCAATGACAATTCAAGACAAGTGACCAATTGAAATATGGCCAAATATTTACATTTAACAAATTATGTGAAAAATTCGTTTTTACTTTCAACTTAAGATTACCATTACATATTATGAATACTATTATATATAATGCAGAAGAGTGAACTACAGTTCCTTTGAATAGTTTTTTTTTTTTTTTTTTTTTTTTTGTTATTGCCGTATGCAAAACTTAACTGCTTGATCCAATTGTTTTGCTCATAACTGTAATTATTAATAATGCGTCAAGAGTAAATTCCGCCATTTCAGTTGCTCGACTATTAACCCGAAATTAAAACGGTTTATAAATGACAAAATTGTCTAAATAAATCAAAATTGTTGAAACGTTTGCGCAGGCACACATTCATTAAATGCACCATTGCCTCCTTCGTGGTATCCGTATAAATTACGAATAACCGCAATGCCAACCACGAAATTACAAAGCATCGCATGCAACAAGGCAACATCATTTAGACATTTGCAACATGCGCTAACGGTCAACGGTGGCAGGCGCGAAATTGCGATTGCAATTGCATTTATTTTAATTTGGCAACAACGGTTCAAGTTCACCTTAACGGGAAAATTGCTAACTACTGGCTGTTGCCTGACTAGTCTTCTTTTGCCGGTTGAGCATTTGATTATTGGGTAATTGCATTAATTGCAATTACTACCGCACCAACGACAACTACGAACAAGTGAAGATCTGCCGCACAGTAGTCGGGCGCTTTTCATTCGCCCAAAGTCGGCTTTGGCAATTGGCAATTCTTCTATCAGGCTCGCTACTTGCCGCAGCAAACAAGAAAACGAAAAAGACAGATTTGGAAGCCAGCCACAGTTTTCAGCTACTGCATTGCGCCGAAAACAAAAAACCTGCAGATTAATAGCATTGAAAATAAAATGCTTTGGAAATTAACATCTTCTCTTCTGCACCCCCTTCCATGGCGGCTGACACGTTCCCACTTGCTTGCTGCAATTGGGCAAGTTCAGCAACATGCAGCGTACAGTCTGACTACGTAGATTGGCAACCAATTTACTTGCATAAGAGAAGAAATTTGCTGAACTACGCCACTGGAATAGTAAAATTTTGGCGGAAGCTACTATTTTGTAGATAATTGCGTGTTACGTCTAAGCGGCGGCGCATACTGCGTCAAGTTGCTGCAAAGTACAGAAGAAATCTCAACTGAATCACAGTTAGAAAATTTCGCTTTTCACAGTTGCTGTCCACAGTGCTTGCCTTCTTGTTCTACCCGCAATCTCAGTGTTAC